TGGCCAGAGATGTGTTTAAAGTTAAAAGAAGAACAAGAATTCAATCAGAAGATACATTTTTGGAAGGTATGGATAATTAAGAAAGATAACTATGAAATTTGTGCATATAGGTAAGATGTAATATTAAATGTATGCATTTTTTTTTTTAGTTGAACTATATTGAATGTTATATTCTGTAGGAAACTTCAGTTAAAAATATAAGGTTTTATAAAATACAAACTTTAATAAATTTTTAAAAGGTTGTAATAATTTTAACAAAATATTTTAGAAGAATGAAATTTAAGATAAATTAAAAGTGATTTTATTTAAGTATTATTATGATCAATTTCTGTTTATCAGAAATATTAAAATTCAAGTCATTCCTAATTTTTATTATCTGACTGACACTTATGGAATTTGCAAAAGATGTAAAAATAATAAATTTACACTTACTAGTAATATTTAAATTATAAGTAATGTAAATCAAAATTAATACAGTAGAAGTTTGTTAATCATGCACCTACATTATCTGAGTGGTCCCAGATTACTTTTTTGTATATTCAGAAATTAAAATAAAACATTTATTATGCCCAAATGATAACACATATTCAGTATTTCATTTAAAAAGCAAATTATACAACAACCAAAAGAATTTTTTTATGATTTGTTTTATGTGAGATTCTTCACTGTTAATCACATGATTAATATGAACTGAAAAATTGTTAATCATAGAAGCAAGTCCATCTTTAGAAATCAGTATTTCAGTTTAAATTACTGCCATTGGGTCAGTGAGTTTAATCACACTTTCACCCTATACTTAATGCAGAATGCTCTGGACTGTTTCCAGGATGTTATTTTTTATGTAATATTGTTGGACCAAGAATCTGTTCTTCAAGGCTGTATGATACCATATTTGCATGATACACAATACTGCAGTATGACTATAAACACATGGACAGACTAAATTTTGTTATTAAGTGCCAAAGTTTCCTATAAACTTTGGAACCTGTAAAATAAAGACATAAAGAGAGATTGAGATTTCTTTTTGTTAACTCCTATTTTTACACCCTGTACATCAGTTATACATATGTTTATGGACACAAAATGTGTCTTAGCTCTAACGTTGCAGGCATTTCTGATGTTGACCATGTCCTTCATAAGGAGTTGTCCATAAGCNAAGTTTTGAAACTAAAGAATAACAAAGTTTATTATATGAGTAATAGTTTATTATTACATCTAATTGTCATAATGCATTTTTAAAATAATTTTTTATGTCAATTCAGTTTTAGTTTAGTTATATTGTATATTAAGTTTGAATGAAAAAGCTTGAAAATAAAAAAATTTTCAATCAATTCCTCTTGAAATCTCACTTTTATTGCTATATTATTTTTGAACATGCTACTGGATATTTAAAGTAGATGATTTTAAATTGTAAGTTGAATAAGTTCATTGATGATATTTGAAATTTTTCTAAATACAGTGGTGGACAAAACTTTAAAAACAAGTGAAAAGTCCACTTAAACAATTAACTTTATTAGAATTATTGGTTCAATCATGTTCATATGCTTTAAAAAAGTAAAATAATAGGTTTATATAATAATGAAAGAATAGTGTTGGAATATTTCTTCCAAAAAGCAGAAGACTAGGTAATTTATGTTGACAAAACTTTAAAGACAACTGAAAATAATCGATCTAAAATCTTGTGGACTCTCCACTTTTTTAAATATCCTCAAATATGTTATCTGATATATTTATAATAAATGTTTTGAGTGTGGCAGTTGGTATAGCATGCCATACTTTCTCTACTGCAACTTTTAAATCTTTTACTAAACTATATTGTTTGCCATCAGCATATAGTTCTTGAGTATATCCCAGATATTCTTGATTGGATTTAGAGATGGATTATTCAACAGTTGGATTTTTTTTGCTGAAACCAACTTTTTGTGGTGGATGAATGGACGACTATTGTCTTGCATAAAATAAAACTTTCTGCCTGCTAATTTTCATAAATTTTGAAGTAAAGTATTTTCAATTGACTCCTGATCTTTTTTGAATTCATTCACCCATGAATGCAGTAGATGACTTTCTTTTGCAATAAATGGCACTCCACGCCATGATGAAATCACCATTACTTGTTGAGATAAAATCCTCTCTTTGTTGTGCAAATCATGAAAGTAATAGTTCAGACCATCCAAACTATCCAGTTGAACTTTTTTCATCTGAAAAAATAACCTGTTGGTATTCTGTATCCCAGGATGTGTGATCTCTAGCATAAGTTAATCTTGCAGTTCTTTAGTTAGGGGAGATTTTCTTTTCAATTTCTTTCAAGTTATCCTAGTGATTTTATCTCTCTTTGAACAGTACAAAGATGAACTTTTAACTCTAATTAGTTTACAATTTTTGATGAAGATGTCACATTGTTGCTTGTAACTCTCAGAATTCCTTTTATCTCTTGCATTCAGCTTAGAAAGTCTTACATCATTGTTTTTCAAGTTATATTTATCACCTTTTTTTTAATATAGTTATATTGTTCACAAGTGTGACTCCTTCCTATTTGGACAGCTACAGTGCAATAATTTTGTAATTGTGATCATAAAATACCAATTTGTCCTTGTTCCTTCTCTGTCAGTTTTACATAATGTTTGACAGATGATTTTATTGTACACAAATGTATGCAAATCTCTATACACTTACACATTCTTAATTATTAACATTTATATGAAAACTTGCAGTTATTTTTTCAGTTATCTTTAAAGTTTTGTCAACATAAATTACCTACTATAAAATGCTTCTTGTTTGGATAACTATGTTAAATTTTCAATTGGCTATTAATATGCCTCAAAACCAAACTTGTCATAACGACCACAAATGACTTTAAGGTGACTGTTTTATCATTTCATTTTGGAGAAAATATGTGATATTTCAAAAATTTGTGATATGATTATTAGAAAATTAATTTGTCATTATAAACAATTTTGCTAAAAGGTTTATGTGTGATTAAGAAAGATTAATTTTTATATTCATTCAAATTTTCTGTAATAAAATATTCCTTTTTTTTTAATTCTTTCCCTTATATATTATCACAGATAGGGAGTAATTGTCTTTTTTTGTAACAATATTGAATAAATAAATTCAGATATCGTGTTCTGGATATAATTAATAGTAGGTTTTTTTATTTTAATGTTTATTTTTTATTTTCTTGAATTTAAATTGCAGTTATAAATACAATGTTNAGCATATCTCCATACATGTTTATTTTTTCTTTAAATAATTTTCTCTTTTTTAAATTTCTAATGAGAAATATTAACAAAATATCAAATAATTTTTATATTTATTTATATATATACAGTGGAAAGTTTATGAGACCAGGGGTCTTCTGGATAAATGAAATTTTGGATAATTCAGAAACTTGTTCATTTTTTTGTTTTGGATATATAAACATTGCTGTGCATTTAAAGCTTCATGAACTATAAATACTGTAATTCAATTACTGTATTTGGAGAGTAAGTCAATTTACTCAAAATCTAATGTAATGTTATATATATATGATATAGTTTTATGGTACTACAATCAACAGATGATGTAGTTATTTCTAATTACATAGAGTTTGGTCTCTGCGTATTATAATCTGTGGTATGTACAAAACTACACTTTCTAATTTTCTTTTTGTTTTCATTTTTTTCTTAACTGTTTCAGATAATTGATTTTCTACTGTATATATGAAATAATTGTATATTTTATGTTACTAAACTTTTTGAATTTTCTCATTTGAACAATTAAATAACTTAATTGTAGCAATAATATATTTAAATAAGTAAATATTGTGATAAACAAACACTATAATAAATTATAGTATTCAAAACAACATTTAACAAATTGCTTGAGTTTAAAGTGCTTTGGACAGAATACTCTAAACTCTATAAATTTATAATAAAACAAGATTGTTTTCAATGCTAAAAATTTTGCATTTGAGAAAAAATATCATTGAAAAAATTATTAAAAACATGATAAAAAAATTATAAGTAGAAATTTCAATAGCTTTAGAAAAATGTTATATATATCCTCTTGTCTTTCCTCCTCTCTTTGTATCTTTCTCTCTCTTGCTCTCTCTCTCTCTCTTTGTCAGTGTTATTTTATATACCATTTTACAAGTAAAATACTGTTTAGATGATGATTGCATTTTAACAAATGTATAGAAAAATAATGATAAATAATTATGTTGTTGTGAAATTATTAAAAAAGATTTTCTCAGTTCATGTAGAGAATGTTCATAATATATTTTTGAACATATTCAATTAAATAAGAAAATGAATAGAATAAAAAGTTGCAACATATATCATCTGTTTAATTTAAAATTCCACTGCCATTTACGGACTAATATTAAAAATACATAAATTTTATATTTTCATTTGGTTTAGAATTTCATAAATTGGATTAAAATTATTTGGCTAAACTTACGAAATTGTGTAATAAGAGACATTACTGAGGAAGAATTCATTTATAAGATATAAATATGAGAAATATCGGAATTAGATTTGACTTGCTGATGGTTAATTAGGAAGAAAATGTAAGGAATATGAATTATCATCATGGATATAATAATGATAATAGAATCATTTTGAATATCGAGGGGATTTAAAATATTATTAAGGAAGAAGATGTAGTATATAAACAAGGAAATCAAGAAATTATCCTCTAGAATTAAGTTTATCGATTTTTTTTTATCTAAATCACGGGGTTACGTCATGAATACTTGTGAATTCAACTCTATCAACTACGATGAAATTCTTTACTATTGCAGGATTCTTAATTTAATTTCATATTCGCTATTAATTGTAATTTACTATAATTAATTACGTATAATCAATTCAATATTAACAATTCTTAATTCAATTTTTTAAATTGATTTTGTACTGTACCTTTACATTTATTTTCAATAAATTTGTAAGAATAGTATTAAATAAATATAAAATTTAAAAAATAAAAAAAAATTTTTTNTTCACAAAGTTATCAAACAAAAATCAATAATTATTTCTGGCATTTTGGTTTTAATCATAATGAAACCACAAAACAATATTTTCTAACAATTCTCCTAACACAAGGAAAGGAAAAAGGTATTTGGACTAAGATTTCTTTTATAACAAAATATGACTCAACAAAATAGTAATTGAATTTTTTCCATAACACATTCATAAAAAAAACATCCTGCAACAATACTGATTTTCTACATTTCTTTTTTACAGAATTATCACTTTAAATTGCCACTGTTATATTGCAGAATTAAAGCATATCTCCATACATGTTTATTTTTTCTTTAAATAATTTTCTCTTTTTTAAATTTCTAATGAGAAATATTAACAAAATATCAAATAATTTTTAGTTAATATTTCATAATTTTATGCATTTTTTTGCTTTAAATTCTAAAAAAGTCAGTAACATAACAAAAAGGTTATCTTGGAGACAAGGTAAGGCTACATTAGTAAGGCTATGATGGCATGTTGGGAGAGAGACATACATTATTTGTGACATAATGTCAATATGAGGCGTTAATTTTTACAAAAACATGATGAGATCATATATGAATACAGATGCCATTTCAAGTACTACATTGTTGATTAACAATCACATTGTATGACACCACAGTTGGTTACAAAAACATATTCTACATAATGAGCTGACAATACTGCTATGATGAGAGGGAAAAAAAATATATGAAAAACCAAGACAAATAACAAAATGCACGCAAAGCCAGAACAACAAACAAAAAAAAATGTCCAAAAAATTAATCTTATTTTATAAATGTCTCACTATACATTATTGGACAATACCTGATGACATAAACTTAGAACATAGCAAACATGAGAATTCAGCAAAAGCAGACTTAAAAATTTTGATATATCAAATTAATTTATTGCAGCGAATTTGATGTGTTATGATCAGCATTTGCTAAATAATCAGGATGGCTATATTCTCAGTATTGAATTTCCACACCAAACACATTTTGGCTGGAAAACTTTTCTATCACAACAATTATCTACATCATTGGAGTTGGTTACGATGAGACCGGTGGTTGTTTCCTTGAGCTATGTAACAGTGAGCATAGGAGGTGCCGCAGTAGTTGATGAGTCCGTAGAAGGAGGGGTTGGAAGCTGAGGTATTGACACCACTGCTATATCTGGATCACACTTAACTCTGTTTACAGTACTATTGCAATGAGGTTGAGTTAGATGATGTATGCTCAAAGGATGTAGAGGATGAGTAGGACTACTTTCTGGTGGAAGTGAATGTATTCTGCTATTTGGCCTATTGTCCAGATCACTAGGAACTTTAGGACTGGAAAGACTAAGTTCAGAAACATTGAGGTGCTCATTGTCACTATCTCCGGCACTCTTGGAATCCGGAGTGGGTGCTTCAACACTTCCGGCACTTCCAATATTGTCCTCACTGTCCATTGCATTGTCAGAACCATCTACATATCGTATACACTTTTTCTTCCTCCTAACAGGGAATTCAGTTACATATTTGAACTTAATACAAAATATGTAGAATATTTTTCAATCTAAATATAATAATTATACATACCTACAAGGTTTACACCAACTGCTCTGTTGATCTAACCCAAATCTTGCTCGGCATTTCTTCGGATTGCTGCCTTCTGCATAAATAAAGCATTTATTAATACTTACTTATTATGAACTTTTAATTAAATTTAAGATTTTGAAAAAAAATTGTAAAGATGAATATTTGTGTAAATTTTAAACTGAAATAAAAAGTAAATGTTATTAAAATTTGAATTTTATTTGAAAACATATTTTCATAAATATATTAAATTTTTTTTTTTTGATAATTTACAGTATATATGTAAAAGAAACATAAATTTTTCATTAAATTTTAAGATTATTTGTATTATTGATAATACATATTGTAATAAGTAAATTAAGACATATTATTAGTATAATTAAACACAATTTTTTTAATAATCTAATTTTAATATAATTATTTTTAATATATTGTTAAAAGAATTAATATATTAATGTAATGCTACTTTTAAATTTAGAAAAAAATTAACATTAAGCATGACTAATAGCTAAAAACAAAATACCGCATACCATGCAGTAAAAAATACTAATTAATGTACACTTTATATATCAGATTAATATCAAACATTTTTCTTAAAGAAAAGAAGCATAAATGTGTGAATACATTTAATCTGACTTTAATGAAGAAAGATTCCAAATGACTTCAATTTTGTAATTAGTGAACCTCTTTAAATAAGGTAATCTAATTTTTTTGTTTTTACTTTTCTGTTTTGAACTTTGTTTATAACTGTTTTAATTATATATTTTTATTTAAAATATTATTGTCATACTCAAAACGTTTATAAAAGTTATTATTTGTATATAATTTTTTCTAAATTGTTTAATTTAGAAAATTGCTTATTTATCTGTTTAGATAAATAAATTTAATTTTTTTAAATGTTTACAACATTATATTTATCAATGTAAATAGAAAAAGTTTTCTTAGTTTTAGTGTTACAAAATGTTGAAATTAGCTATATCTTAATGCAGTAAATAATTTCCGAGTACTTTATGCATTTCAAAAAATGTTTTGTTTATTCATGTTAAATTCTGTTAATACATCTCTTTGCTATCCAATCCTTTATATAAAGTGTATTTATTAATCAAAATTAAAATTAGTATCTAAGATGCACAAAAACAATTCTGACAATTTGTAACAATGCAAATTTAATTACAAAAACCTATGCAAATCAAAATATTAAAGCAGAAATCATAAGTTTGCACATCACTCAGAAAGAAAAAAAAAGAAACAGGCAGTAAAAATAACAACAAATAAAAAAAATAAAAAATAAAACTTTAAAGATCGCCACTAGAAAGACGAATTAGTGCCTACACTAGCTAGAGGCCGAGATTGAAGGTTTACTTACAGGTGATTTGACCTACCCCTTGCTGCATGTTTATGTAAATATAACAACATTAAAAATACAGAAAAATGTATTACAATTAAAAATTTTGTATATTAAGAATTAAAAATTAATAATGTCAATCTATCTAATTTCAAAGAAAAAAAATTAAATATAGTCTATTCTTTATTTTCATTATATAATATATCAATATATATATATAAATATATATTTGCTGGGTAGGTTAAAAAACAAGCCAACTATCATGGCCTCCAGCACCAAGCTAGCAGACCCAATAACAGACAATAGAAGAAAATATAAAATGAAAAAAATAGCAGATACTCAATCACACACATACAATCATAACCATTTAAAATAAGATAAAATTAATCCATTCAAAGGAATCGCTCTAAATCATCCAAGGATTATTTTAACAGAATAGCAGTTTCAATCCTTTCATTTTTTTTTTTTTCTTTTATAATGATAAACATTCAAACAATGTTTCAATATTCATTTATCTTATATACATAATTTTAAAACAAAATATTACATTGAAAGGATTAATACTTTTTTTTGATAATCTAAAAGGAAAAACTAAATTAATTATAATTAATATAATTTTACATTAAAATGTTATTAATAATTTCAAAAATTGTATATAAAATTCTGATGGGCTTGTTTCAAACTATAACTTTCTTGTTATTTTTATATTAATGATATTTGAATAGATATTGCTGATGATAACAGAAATATATGAAAATTTATAACCATTTAATTTCAAATAAAATAATGGAAAAAATTGTAAATTCTGAAGTTTTAAAATTTTTTATAAATTGATATGGTGAACAATGAAAAATCCAAAAATAACAGGGAAATTAAACCTTTCATCTGAAAATGTAGATTCCAGTAATTCAGATAAATTTTCTTATTAGCATAAATTGTATTTATTTCACTTAAAATTTGCATTGTAAATGATTTAAATGCATAAAATAATAATATGAAATAAGACAACAGTTTAACATTACATAAAGAAAATAATCAAATTTACTTTCTCTTAGAGAGAGAAAATGAAGAATATTCGATTCAGAAACTAATATAATAATATAAATGTTATTAATAGTTTTATTGTTGTTTAAAATTTGTTGGAATATTTTGTCTAATATTTTTATTCATCATAGAAGTCTTGGATAAATGAAAATATTAATATCCAGTATTTACTGATTTTATTCGGTAGTCATTATAAGCTTAAAGTGAACTTTTTGGTCAATTGTCTAGACCAGACATGGGCAAATGCGGCTTTTGCTGAAAGTTAATTTCTGCTTTTTGTTATTATTTTTACAATTTTATTTTCACAAAATTGTGGAAATATGTTTATTAAAAAATTCAATATTTGTTTTATATTATATTTATATTATATAATAAAATCGCAGTACAGAACTGCGGCTCCCATGCATTTTGCAAAACTTACATTTCGGCTCCCACTGAACTCTTGCTTGCCCACCCCTGGTCTAGACAAATAATCAATATATGATTCAAATTTCTATAAATATAAGAATAGTCTAAAATGTTTTAATGAAATACTTTAATTAATGCATAAATAACAATACAAAAATATTTATGATTCTTTAGTTAAAATCGTGTAGTATATTATAATATAAAAACAAGCAAAAAAATTACCCAAATGTAATTTAAATCAAATCTTACTCTTCACATGTGAATGATGATTTTGATATAAATGATCCTCCCTACTGAAAACAATCATAATCATAACACAGTAAATATTTGTAATATGGCAGTCTAGAATGTTAAGATACACACAGAATTTCTTGAACTAGCAAACAAATCATACATGAGAATAGTGTAAATATTCTCATATATGCTTATATTGTTAAAAAATTTAAAAATTTCATTTTAAATTAACAGCATTATCTTTAATTAGATTTATTTATAATTATTAATAATTATAAATAAATAATTTTTTATTTTTTTACCATTTATACATTTTTATTCAATTGTAAAAAAATACATATTCTTCTAAAAGGTTTTAATGATAAATAATAAAATTGTAATTAGAGAGAGAAAAAATATCTTGTATTCCTATAAATTGATATCTAATAAATCAACATTGGAAAGTAAAGTTTTGATATCCAGTTAAATTCAAATTTTATTTTCCAGATCACCTAACTGAATAATGTAACAAAAAGTGACGCACTGCATTTTGAAAAGATTTTTTTTCCAGTTCATGTTCCCGATACTAAGTTTTTGCTTTGATTCTGTCAAAAAGGATTTTGGCTTTTTCAAATTCCATCAAATATATTTGAATTAAATATTAACAAGATGATAATTTATAGATTCTCTCAACTCAACTCTGTGGATAGTTATCATCAATAATTTCTTTGACAATGCAGATGTAAAAAAAAAAACAGTCTCAGTTGATTCATTGTACTTTTTGAAAGATGAGGACCAGTCAGTATGCCAGCATTGTGGTTGTGATCTAAACACTCAGTTACATTGGGCAAATTTAGTAGCCACTTACTAACAAATTTACTTGTTGCTATTAAACTCATTCAATGTAATTAGTGGTTCATTAACTCAATTGATGATTTACCTGAACGAGTAAAATTGAAGATTGGACTACTTTTGTCACTACTCACTGCTGAGTTTACTTTTTGACTAGGAAACTTGCCATATAATAATGTGCAACAAGTAAATCAGCCTGTAGAAGATATACATCTTCTATTGGTTAAAGTAGTGTATGTGGAAATTTTAGCTGTTGCCTGTATTTTGAGATTTCAAGAGGACTAAATTATTATGCTTATTATTCCATCTTGTTTCTTATAAAATTGTTGTTATTATTTGTTTAAGGAACTTAAAATATATAAAGAATTATAATATAATTCTTTATATATTTTAAGTTCCTTAAACAAATAATGAAAGAATTTAAAAAATCTATTTGGAAAAAACACAGAATTCTGTGTCTAGACTTAAAATTAACTTGACAATATTTCGTATTAACTTTAATCACATTAAAGGAATTTATTTTATTTTGCTTTTTAGTCTAATCTTGAAAGCAAAGTAAATAGGAGAATTTACTAGCCTAGTGTAATTGGTACTCACTGTGTGCGTGTATAAACTTGTTCACTCTGTTGGAAGTTTTTATGCTAGCAAAGTAGCTAATAAACATGTTTAATGTAATTGAGCCCTAAGCATAAAGTATATCGTAGTTGAATGCCATATATTTAATAACTTGTCTACAATATCTCAAAGTCTCAAAGATGATGAACAATTCTAAAGTATATTGGATCAGAGACCAAATAAAGTTAATAAAGTTGTCTTTTTGAAAGCCACAAATAAATAATAAATGATGATGCGGCTTTTCCACCAATCAATCCACATGCATGCATGCATGCATTCACACAAAATACCACACACACACAGACAACCAGGACTGGCCTGAGCTAAACGCTCACTGGGCAGTCACCTAAGATGTAAAAATTTAGGGGTACCACAGCCAGCATCACTTCAAGGGCACCCTAGTACCATTTAACTATGCTGGCCCTGCAGACAACAGACATTATTTTACAGATCTGAGGCTGAAAAATACTATGTTAAAATCCAGTTAAATCTAAAAAGTCAAGCCAATATAGTATTAGTGGTTTGAAGTTAGAATTAATATAAAAGTAATTATTGCCAACCTAATCCTTATAAGTTAATAATAAGTAATGACTTTGAATGTATTTCTTTACAGAAAATGTATATATCTTTCTTAATGCTAAAATTTATACTATATCATACAAATTTATAAAATGAATGAGACAGATAATCATTGTTAAAACAGTAGCTACTTTTTATAACACATTTTATTATTACAAGTAGTGTAAATAATTATTTAAATTTTATAAGAACCATTAAACATTTGTGATATGAAAACTTTACACATTGATGAACCAGTTATTTATTAAAACAAAAAATGTATATGACTTCTAGAGGATATGAACTCCACTAAAGGATATGCACAATAAACATTATATTTCCAAACTCAAAATTTTTTTTAAAGATTCATTGAAAAAAATTAGATTTTTTTTTTAATAATCTGTCTGTATTTTTAAAGCTTAAAATATCAAAAAGTTTCTTTCTTGCTCAAAAAATTATTTTGACATTTTTTGTAATAAAGTTATGGTTATTTTTTATTTGAGAAGGAAATTAATGGATTAGTATATACTGATAAATTTGAATATAGTTATTAATACTTGGATGAAGCATCTAAATATTGATCTTTAAACAAAGTTTCTCCAAATTTAATCACTATTTCAAATTTTTAAATAATTTTTAAAAATAGAATATTTAATACTTAGAATTAAACACCTATAAAACAAGGAAAAATCACCTTTTTTTCATTAATATTTATAACAGTTATGTTAAAATTGAAAATTACTAGAAAAAAATTATGTTTGAGTTGCCCTAAAATATGAAAAATATTTGACATTTTCTATAAATACAATAAATATATATTTTTTCAAATGTAACATTTTAAAATGTAACTTAGTAAATTATAAAGTTGCAAGAACCACTATTCTTTATTTTAAGAATCATAATGCTTTATAATATATAAATAATAACAATAATTCAGTTTATTTTTTTTATTTTCAAGAATTATTTTCTTATTTGAAGAATTATTCATAAAATGTTTGTTTTTTTTTAATGAAAAGATTACATTGTTTTTACAGGTGTCAAAATAGTAGTTAAAATCTGTTATAAACAATCATATTTAAACATTTTTAAAACAAAACTGTCAGATATAAAAATGTATCATACAAACCTAAAACAATTTACTTCAAGTTCTTTGTAAATATTTTAAACATTCCTCAAATTCTTTTGAGGTTGGAAATGAAAAGGTTATTTAAATATACTTTGCAAGTCATCTTTATTCATTTCTAGAGATTTAAATTGTGATAACCTTCAATACATCAATGCTCAGAATTTATGGATGAAAAGATATTTAAAAGATAAATATTTACATTTTTAAATGCTTTTTTTATACCCTTAGTATAAATTATTTTTACTTTGTATATATAATTTATTTAACAAAGGTTAATCAAATTATTTATTAGTTTTTCATGAGATTATTTATATTTTCACTAGTTCAATAGATAGTTCACAGGTTTTGTTTTATTATTTGATTTACTAATTTTAGAATAATGTAATTAGATTTCAGATTGTTCACTATATCAACATCATTAAAAAACTAAAAGTTTCAATGATAGTTTTTGATTATTTTTAAACTGATACACACAATGAATGTTAAGAAAATTTCAATGAAATGTTAAGAAAATTTCAATACTGAATAAACTATATAATTTTTTTTGTATTCTAATTTTTAATTATTATTTTAAAAAATAATGCTAGAATAATTAAAATATTTCATATAATAATAAATTATTTGAACATCTAGATTATTTTATTATTTATGGTTTTCTCATATTTTGTTACATCAAAATGCACAAAAACATTAAAACAATTTAAATGAATAAAAGTTACTGACCTCCATCATGAAGTTTATCTTTTTTTCTTTTCTTTTTCTTTGTGTGTTGTGCGTAATTATCTCTGGCACTCCATCCAGGATATAGCTGCATATGTAACTGTCTTTCCTTTCTTGCCATGTCATAATATTTAGCTTGTTCTTCCCGTGATAAACTATGCCACTGCATTAAAAATAAATAAAATATAATTTTTACAGAATTAAAATATTTCCATTAAGCTAATTCATTTGCAATTCTACCCATTTATACTAATGATGATGAATAAATAATAATTTACAGTTTCAACTGACATTAATATTTCTGTCTAATGTATTACATTTGGTAATTAATAACTCCAAATTACTTCTCAATTATTAATTATAGACAATAAGTCTATAATTTGAAGTGTAGGTGAATTACTAAATATTATTTAATAATTATTTGAAATTTTAAAATATATTTTCATTTAAAAAGTTTGAAACAGAGAAAAATTTTATTTTGTACTAACCCTTCTGCCTAATATTTGATTAATAGCTGCACTTTCTTTCAGAGTGCATTCTGCAACAACTTTGGCACGCATTTCCTTCATGTATAACATGAAGGCATTGAGGGGTTTTTTAATGTGAGGTGCTTTTTTCTCTGCTCGTGTATGATTGTGATGAGTACTTGGACCACCATTAGTAGCATTATTTGTGTCAGCTCTACTCGACGGCACTTTTTGGTCTAACTGGAAATTTGGCAAATTCCTAATCAATTTTAAAAAAAGATATAATTAATTTTAATAAACAAAACCTTAAATGAGAAATTAGGAAAAAGACAAAAAATAAACCTTATATCCTGAGGATGAATTTCTTGTTTTGGAGTGATAAGTGCTGGATGAGGTATTCCAGTATGAGCTGCAATACCTGGATGATGAGGAAGGAGTGTTGGTGGAGAAAACCTCGTTAGACTGGCTGTGGTGGTGGGAAGACCTGGAGGATAGGGTCCTCGGAATCCTGCTGATGTCATTGGATACATAGCAGATGCTGCATGCCTAATTTATTTTAAAAGAATATTTAAAATCTTGAGTAATTTCAAAAATTTTTTTATAGTAAATAATTTTAATAAATATTTACATAATATATATATTCATTAGATTGTTTGAAATTATTTNTTTAATTATTGTTGTTTGTTTTTCCTTCCTTCTCTTGATATTTACTCGGCATCGATGTTATATATATATATAGTTTAAACACAAGAGTTACATACATAAAACGTTGCAGAATGTTTTATGTATGTTGTTAACTGTTTGGATTCCCTTACAAATGCCTTGGGTGTGTGATGTATGTTCTCATATTTGGTATATAATGTTGGTACTTGTAAAATAAGGTTTCATTTGGGGTAAAAAACTTTTTTAATAATATAGCATTATTAAAAAGAACTTATCATCATAGTATGTTATTTATATACATAAATGAGAATGTTTGTTTGGATGTTTGTTCGCTACACACGCCTAGGCAGTTCGATCAATTGCTACGAAACTCGACAGCTAAGTTCACATACTTTAACTTAGATAATGTCGTACATCCCACCCCAAAATATTCAATTTTTATAAATCAATTAATTTCTGTCTACATTCGAATTGCTGGTTTTACACGTAGCGCTATCTATTGGCAAAACTTTATAAACAATGAACTAAATATAATTCTTACAAAAGAATATATATATATATTTTGACATTTCATCTATACAATAGAACTCCAATTACTGAATGCTGCTCATCCAAATTATCCAAACTTCTATATAACATTACAAAAGAATATATATATATCGTTTGACATTTCATCTATACAATAGAACTCCAATTACTGAATGCTGCTCATCCAAATTATCCAAACTTCTATTTATCTTATCCGGGCCATTTTTAATTTTTATTTCCATACATAAAGTTCCTGACAGTGCCTCAGGATAAGGGAATGGTAGATGGGCATTTTTATGTCATCACACCCATAAATAAGGGTGCAAAACAAATGGGTCACTCATCCATTAACAAAGGGTAGTTAAACAAAGACCTTAGAAGTTTCTAGAAGAAATTAGAGGCATCCAACATACAGAAATTGAAGAATATAAAAAAAAACAGACAATGCTGGCCAGAGAAACAGCAATACCATCATCTCAAAGACCTTTCACTGGAATGATGATGATGGTAAGATCATTACAGCAGAAGAAATAATTCAGGTCATAGAAGGTATTACTAATTTCATCTGTTGTTCCTTCAAAGAAAGAGCAGTGGAGAACCAATATTGAGTCTTTTGTTATGTGGAAAAGTGCTACACAATCACTTATGACCCTTATTTCAAAACCAACAATGGTTAACTCAGAAACTTCCACTCACACCATGGTGTAGGAGAACTTCAAATTAAATGAGAGTTGTTGTTCTAAGACATCACAGATACCAATGAATTCAAAAAAACATTAACGAAATTCATGGAAAGCAATAGATATTCTGAAGATGCTATCAACAAAGCAGATATAATGGGGATAAACTGGAACGTACTTCTCAAAAGTCACAGACTTCACAATAGGAATCTACAGATCCTGGTTTTAAAGTTAGCAAAGAGTAAATTACTGAATTGGTTTGTGCAAACCCCAGGGGTACTCATGCATTACATTGCTGGTGATCAGAAAGTCTTAAAAACCTTAGTATTTCAAAAATTCTGTCTGCTACTGTTTACAAGATACCAAAAAATGTGTGGATGAATTCCAAATTTATTTTTCTTTTGTGAATGTTATACTAAAGACTGCACTAAGTGTTAAAACACATTATAAAGGTAAAACAGGGCAAAGAACTGCTGCTGCTCAACATCATATTATGCCACTCAATATATGTACTCATGCTTTATATTTATTATAAATAATTATAAAATTTAGAGGTACAAATAAAGCATTATTTTGGCCCTGCTAAAGTTTAGTATATAGTTTATTAACAACGTTTCCTTGTTTTAAAATTCTACATTGAAGAAACCAAAATTTCAAACTATTAATCACATGCCACTTATAATAACACTCTATAAATCATTTTTAAAATGCTTTAGGTAAGAAATTAAAATATCCATAGTCTTAAATATATAATAAGCTCTCAATCAGAGCTGGACAAAATACAAAAAAGAGCAGCTTGAATAAAAATATCAAAGACCAGTATTTATATTCAAAATAATTTTTCCTAAATATTAAATAGCTGATGAAAGTTATAATATTTGAAAATACTAAGTATTAATTAAGTTTGAAAATATGATTGTACATGAAAATTCAATAAATTATTTTAATGTAGAAATATTTGAAAAACTTTATATGCACTTGAAAATACATTATTATTATTTGGAATACATAAAAATATCTTTAAAAATTCTTGAGTAGACAATACATACAAAGATGTGTTTTTTTTTTTATCAGTCCTTTCAACTGATTGAAAAAAGACACATCTTTGTATATATTGTCTACTCGAGAATTTTTTAAGAAATTTTTGTAAATATAATTCATCCTGGCTAATTATTTTAAACATAAAAATACTTCAAGTAGACTCATTGCCATAAAAATTAGCACACCAAGGAATTGTTATATTCAAGAAATTGTTATATTGCTGTGAAACTTCACATGCAGATCAAGCAGATATGGAAATAATTAGAGTTATAAAGCGATGGCTCACTGCATAATGCCAGCAAAGGGCATTAAAGTGTGTCCCCCGTGGTCTATAAAAAAGTGTGCAAAGGCATCCTGCCTGTAGTTTACCTGTTGCAGAGGGATACTGTATCACTAGAGATGCCTTTACATCACGATCAAAGATCATATGAACAACTAACCAAGTTTGAGAGGCAAAGGATCATCAGGTTGAGAGGAACCAGATGGTCATCTCACCAAATAGCCCGCCACCTAGGCCATTCTAACAACACTGAGAAGGTGTTGGGACCAGCAGACGAGAGAGCCCACACACATGGTGACCAGGTTCAGGACCTCCTCAGCAGACCACTAGTCAAGAGTAATGCTGGTCCCCTGAAAAACATACACACAACCAACTGTATCATTGTCCTTCATCCTGATACAGGTGTCACCTGGGTGAGGAACATTTGGTGTCATGGCAGCCATTATGTGTACTGCCATTGACAGTCACCTACTGTTGCCTCTGGAGTGGTGTCACTCCAAACAGGACTGGAATGCAATAGAATGGAGCTGGGTCATCTACAGCAACAAATCCATTCAGTTTGGTCACTGACAATGGCCTATGGTAAATGCCTCAATCCTATCTGTTTTGGAGCAGCACACCACTCCCACAGCTGGTGTGATGGACTGGAGTGCCATTACATATGACAGCCACCTCTAGTAGTGATCCAAGGGACCACGAAAGCCCAACAGTATGTTAGTGACATCTTGTTAGTTACAATTAGAACAATTCAAAAATTTCATTTTCTAAAGACTTTTTATAAAATTTTTATGCATAATTATTTTGTAATTACAATACTTAAAATCATTCAATTTATTTCATTCATTCAATATTTAAATTTGTATGATCATATTTTATCAAATTTGTCATGTTTTTTTAATCCATCATTATCAGAATGGTTCTAAAGTATAAGCCATATTCAATGTAGTGTGTATATGCACAATGTATAGTATAGCAACTATGCTAGCTATACTAGCTTTCAGTATCCAAGCTAGTATTCCTATGACCAGAGATTATTGTTGATAACACCATATGTCATACACACTGATCAAATTTCACTGCAGCATATTATATCAAATGTTTATGTTGAAAAATACAAATATTTTGAACATCCTAGAAAAAGTATTTCAAATAAAATAACAACTTCCAAAGTATTTGAAATAGGAATTGAAATATCACCCAGCTTTGTTATCAATTATACAATTTTTAGATATTTCATACAATGCTGGGCTGCAATTGAAATTGTTTACTGTCAGTTATTTCAGTTATAGTATCCTATTATTTATGAATTTAATTAACAAGCAATTTTTCTTGTATATAAACTAATATTAACATTCTTGCTTTCCATATATAAGTACAGATGTTTAAAATTTATACACATTATTCTATTTCTAAACACTTGTCCATACCTAGTTAAACTTTAAAAAGTTTTAAGTGTTACACAATATGGTGATAGTTTTTTATTTAAGCCTTCATGGAACAGATAAATTACAATTTCTTCATACTTTATCATATTTTTGCTGTAATGAGAATTACCCATCTTTATCCATATCAAATTATGATGATATTTCCATATTTTCTCAAATTGAATAATGTTTTTATTTGCTAAGTTTAGTTCCTTTTCTCATCTTAGTTCTAACTTGACTGAGCTTCGGTAAACTTGATATCATTATCATCAGAATGGTTCTAAAGTATAAGCCATATTCAATATAGTGTGTATATGCACAATGTATAATATAGCAACTATGCTAGCTATACTTGACTTTGACATTGACTTTCTTTTGGCATTTTCTCATTAAATATAGTTTCTATGAGCGTAAAAGCATTTATTTGATTAATATTTTTAGGATACAATCATTTCATTTCCAGATCACTTCAAAATAAAATCAGTTACATAATTGATTTTATTTGAAGTGATCTGGAAATGGGATTCTTGTATTTTGGAATTGTTAATTAAATAAATGATTATAAGCTCTAGAAATATTTTTTTATATTTTAAGACAAAAATGCTGAAAGTTACATAATTTAAACTCTCTGATAAACTGTTGTTAGTAAATCAATATAATTCTTTACTATGGCTTTATATATTGCTGATTTGTAATTCTCTTCTAACAACATGAACTTCCTTTATTAAGAGTGTACTTTTAGTTTTACAATTGTTAATTCACTTATACTTTGATATATCTACATTAGTTTTCATATATTAAAAAGATATATGAAAACCGATATTGTTTTTAATCACTCATTTAATCACTCAAATTATAATCTAGCTTCAAATTTCAATCAAAACTATTTAACTATTTCACTAATATAGTAGGTGCTGCTTATTGTAATCA